CTTCATCATTCTTGTATGAACAAAACACCAGATGTGGATACTCAGAGAACAAAATGCACTACCAACTGCTTATGACATTTATTATTGAGGTGAAAACTGTGTTAATCATTCAAATTGTGTACTTATATTGCAAATATAGGAAAAACAAAACAAAGTGAAAAAGAAAGGTAGGAGTATTAAAACTACAAATGAATTATAAACACCATTGGAAGCATAAGAGTTTTGATGATTATTTGCATTTTGCCCAATTCATATATCAATACAACAAAATAAAAATGTGCTACAACTTTACAAGTATTTGATGCAGTTGCACTTCAGAACATCACAAAAAGGTTAGTTAAAGTAATTTCTATACAATATAGTTTGTTTTCATTTACCAAACCTATGCAGACTTGAGTCTTTTTGAAATTTCATATGAAACTCAATTACAGAAAATCCGTAAATATCCAGAGATTTAATATTTACTTTTTTAAAGAAACAAGTAAAAATCCTACAATTGTGGCGAAAAAGCCATTACCCATTGCATGAAAAGAAGCAAAATAACAATGATGAAAAATAAGCTAACTTCTCTCTCGTGAACCGTGGAGATGAACTATGATATACTTTTTTGTATAGACTAAAGAGTTTAATCAATCAAACAAATTTGACGCTGGTAAGAAAACGACGCACATCTGCATTCATACATGTGTAGCCGACATATAGGTCTTTCATCGATAGTTATAAATGCATCCTCGTAGGAGCAGATAACTGACAACCACAGTTGACTCGCTGTTATGAATTTAAGGTTTTTACCTTGATTTTCATCAAAAAATTGCTTGCCGAATCCCAAATACACACATACATTTTCCTCACTCTTTCCTCAGGAGGGAGTGGGAAATTGTGAAATTTTCGGAAAAGCTGTCAATTTCGGTAAATCTCAGCGGCAACGGACGAAATCCGCCATTTTTTTTACAACATCCGATATCTAAGGCCGCGCTTGAGATAGCCGCTCCAGTTATTATAGAACTCAATGGTCGCGCGCTAATAATTTAGAGTAATTTGGTTGACATGTTCCCTCCAGGTCGTATATAACTCAATGGCCTAGACTTGTCTGAAGCCATTTAGAAGATGATTTGTCGCTTCGCGAGTGTCTCGCGTGGACTGTTTTATTTGCGTTACGGATTGTTTTGAAAAAACTGCTAACTTGGAAATAAAATGCTAGCCTGAATGTTTTATTTTTTTCAAAACCGTTAGCAAAATTTGGTTATTAATGTGTTAAGATGCATTGCGAACGTTCCAAGACATGTTTTGTATACGTAACGCTGTATTATGTAAAACATAAAGGTGAGAACTTGCTTCGAAATATGAATTTCTCATTTGTCGTCGAAAGACCAAAAATTTAAGATAAAACTAATAACAGGTAGTCTGTATCTTTGAATGCTGTTCAAAATACACACAATCCACTCAATATAACATGTTTCATAACAATTTTATTGCTTTTAAAGTTAGACTTGTTTTGTAAGAATTTCACATGCTCTTTTTGTAATGTGAAAGTGATGATTTGAAATTTTGAAATGCACGGGTGGAATATTTGACTTGCATCCATATTTGTGTATTGAGCATTTTATCAGCAATTTCATGCTTATAAATAAATAGCCAAGTGTACAACATGACAAGTATTGCTAATATAACCTGCTCTACATAAATGCCAAAAGCAACCTCATCCTCAGTGGTTTGAACCCCCTAGGGTTTTAAAATGATTATAAAGCAAGCAAAGCTATAGCATATTTCAAAATTTTATAGTATATCACATTGATTGTAAAATTAGTTTTTTCTTGTAATACAGATGATGATAAATGTATATGTAATATATTATATTTTAGGATGTGCATTTAAAATGTTTGGTCATATTTGTGAAAATATGTAATGATTCTATAATATTAGACTAATAATCTTTTTCATACTTGTATTACATTACAATTTTTGCTTAAGTGTTTCAAAAGTTGTGAATGTGGAGTGTCATTTGTGTTTTTATCTTTTTTTTAAGTGGGTATTGACCCTTTTTTAAAATTGTCTCTTTAATGGTGCAACTAATAATAACACAATAATATGGCATAACAGTTTTAAAACGAACTCAAAATACTTTTTTGCTAACTTTTTGAAATATTTTGCAAAGTGTTCTTCTTTTTGTTTACGTTCTGAATTTAGAAAAAGGACTGGGGCGAGCTAATTTTGCTCGGAAACACAAAAATTACCGAAAAACAGCGTTTTTTGCCCTGACAGCTTTATTTTCAAAGATTCAAACAATATTATAAGGATAGACAAGTGTACTTTACACCTTTTTAAAGAAAAAAAAACAAGGGGTGTCAGTTTTGTATTCAAGTTTTAAGGCATGTTTTCATGTGCCAAAATAAAGTTCGCTTTTCCTCCTTCTAAAAAGAAGTTTAAACATGTATAAATGTCGTTCAAACTTGTCTTATACTAAATTCCAAACATTGTTTAAGGTTTTTAGGCATTAAGCTGGCTCGAAGAGAACTGTTTTCCGCAAAAAATCCGGCAGTTTCGAAGTGATGTATTTTGCCTCCGTGCCTTCAATGGCGTCGATCATGCAGGCTTCGAAGATGGAAGCCAAGTTAGCTTTCCAGCCCAGACCCCTTTTCCCCTCCAGGTAATTAAATAGAACTCAACGATTTGAATTTCCATGGAATTTCCTTCCCGCTACTTGTCCCATGCCTCCATATCACTAGATACTGCGTCATCGTCTGCATTTTATCATGACGTGTGAGACAGGTTCACGTGACCCACGTGGACAGAATTATCATATAACAAACGTCATCCACAGTATTTCATATCATAAAATGTCAAATGAAACTTCACAAATATCTACTGGGATGGACATTCTACAAAATCGCGCACGTTACCAAGACAATTTGGAAGATGCTTACGTCGATTACTTAAAAAATTCAAAACAAGAATTTAATAAGCTTTTATAAAAGTTCAATGTAAATAAAAATGAACTTTGCCAAGCTAGATGGAGAAAAATAGCACTTGAATGAGTGCATACTTGTTGCCTTTTGAAAAGAAAACTTACAATTAAACATTTTCAAGCGGGCTTATTTGATGCTCAGGCTTTGTAATCGAAATTTGTTTTCTCGTAACTATCAATATACCAACAGTTAACGGCTTGTGAACGAAATCATGATTATCGTTCAAAAACGTACCTTGGCAAAAGATCTTTGATGCGGCATCGCTATTTCATATGGATGGTTACGACTCGTAACGATTTTATTGGTAGCTTTCTTGTATTGTAATTCTTGGGCGCCGAACAGCGAAAGAGGAAAGTATGGATTCCGGTCTCTTCAAAGAGAACCTACATGTTTCTCAGCAAATCTTCGCTCTTTCGAAAAACCAGCCATGTATAAACCAGACATGTAGAATCTCTTGCAGTAATAGAAAAAACAACACATCATCTACACAGCAAAGTAATATTGTGTAGATAATGATCGAACAATATCTAGCTGACAACCAAATTATACAACTTGAACTAGCTGTGGGATACAGTACAACTGAAATGATGAAATAAACCCAAGATCGATTTCGTTGAATTTGGAGACATCTTCTTTCACACAAAAACCGCGGCCAAATTTCAAGTGGCGATAACTTGAGCAGGGTATGATTGTTATAGGCTTTGCACATTTCATAAGGACATACATATTTAACGGAATTGTGGACAACTTTTGATTTCAAAGGTCAGTGTAAAACTTCAATACGAAAAATGCAAATTACTGTGCTCATTCGCCCGTGAGCATACTGACTTCTCTAAATATTCGACTAAATCGCCGAAATGAATGATAAAAAGCACTCGTTAGGGAGGTTCATAGCCCTTTCGTAAGAAAGAGTTGGGACCCGGAAGTAAAATTGCCATTGAATTAAAATACATGGACGCTATCATGCAAATAATAAATACTTCAGCAAATAATTGAAGCCGAATTTTACCCCAGACACGTGAGACGCGTGTGTAGGGTTTCGAGAATCGTTCCATGTATTTTAGTTCAATGAAAATTGCCTAGCGTGCGCCATTTTTATTCCAAAAGCCATCAAATATGGAGCATTAAATGGTGGAAAGACAAATTTTCTATCGTGTTTTTAGACCCTTTGCTTCCGGTCTGTCACCCAAGAAACTGTCCATAACGTTAAAGAATTTAGGTTCATTGCCTCTCCCAGCTCCTGATCGTGATAATGTGTCTTTGAACTTTTTGTATTCAGATTTCATATGCTTAAATTTAGTTCTAAATTGCGTCCAATCACGATCTATCCCCTTTTATAAATATCAGCGTTTTTGTGGGTACCTTTCAACTTTTGTTGAATTTCTTCTGTACCGTACGCTGAGAGGAGGGCTAAACAGTCTTTTTCTGACCAAACCTCTCGTTTTTGCGCCATTTTCCAAGCTTTTTTCTCTGTTTTGATTTTCAATTTTGAGAAAAATGTCTGCGTTTTTGCGGAAACGGCATGGGAGCGAAACTGTTCTATCGAAATAAGCTTACTTACGTTCACATATAAACCGGATCGATTTCAGATCGATCACAGACCACCTTTCGAAGCGAGCTGACTTAGATCGATCTGAGACCGATCTCAAATTTTAGCGAAGGTTCACACTTAGCTCGCTTTACGTTAGATCGATCTCAGATCGATCTAAACGACCAGTGTGAACAGGCCTATAGTTTCTTATACTAATCCCCAAACTGGTAAATAAAATACTTTCCGATGGCTACATTGAAATGAGAAAAATCAATGACTTATGAACAGCATAAACTTCACGGCAAGCGAGCATCCAGCCCTCGAACAGCACAGAGCCACTGCACACAACAGAATAAACACTGCCACAATTTTTCGAGGATATTCTTGTCGGATTAACAAAGCAAACGATTCGTGAGTAAATGGCGAGATAAAGCTGTGCACTCATATGTAACCGAAGATATCATCGCAAAAAGTATATTACACATTAAACAAGTCAACGCGTGTAAGTTTCATGAATGAGATCAGCCTCAATTAATTTAACTCATGCCCAATCCACAATGCCTAGCGTTGCTAAAAACAGCAACATTCTCGCGACCTGGACCAATTGAATAAGTTAAGAATCACGAGTGAAATATATCACCATTTTCATCGCCGAACCAAATAGTTCGCACAAAAGTACTAACTTTATTATCTTAAGTTAATGAATAAAACTACCTTGTGTCTAGTACTTTTAGTTGGTACACCCTTTTCTGAAATAAGATAACGAGAGTAACAAATTTTATGAGTTCAGTTGTTCAAGTGTCAAAATTACAAACGTACTGTTAAAAAAAACACGAGACAACTTTGGTATACAACTCGTATCATTCCTAAATGTTGTCTAAGTTTCACCCAACATATTTCGAGGGGAGGGGAACAAATTATTTCAAATCGATACTTATACAATTGGCCCAGACGAATACCTACATAACTATAGCGGCACACATGCGACGTGGCTGCCTTTGACAGTACAAAAATCATATAAAAATATCTTTCACAAATTCAGTGTCATGACAAGCAGCGAGACAAACAATACGGCTACTTATGTGCATAACCTCTATACATTGTATTGAAATCATCATTTTCAATAATCATTTAATCTTTAAACTCGAAACTTGGTTCACGACACGCAGCAACGCTTGATTTTCACTTTTAAGTGTTTCAACCTCCTTAAAAAGAGATAACATACACCAGTTGTCACGTTATATTTGAAAATAGATTGAATATATAAGCAATTGCCATAATTGTACTAAGTAATTTATCACAGTGATCGGCCGAGGTACAACTCTTGACGAGAGCCCCGTTACAAAATCAACTGGATCTCCTCGGGTCAAATATTCATTGTTTACGAACTAGCATCTCTCAGGCTGCAGTGTTCGACTGGTAGTTAAAAACAAAACGAATAACAATAAATGCTAGTTATATAGGCACCAGAGTCGAAGTTAAGGTCAAAACAAAAACTTCGGCAGTGAGATCTTTGTTAACGTCTAATTAAATAAACGTCCAAACTCCAAAAAAATATAAGGCAAACTTACGAAGTTATTGTTGACGAAAAAAAGTACAAACTTTCACAAAAATAGCGTATTTTTTGTAAGACAGATAACATGTTGCCTTACTGTATTGACACAATCCCCTAAACACTTCTCGAGCATCCAAGTAGCAATTCATACATGCACAAGAAAAACATATCTATGTAAGTTACTGCTTAATATGCACTAATTGTTTCTGTTGCTGCGTATTCAGGCAAGAGATGACGAGCAACATAGAAGACTTGTTATTTCTTTGTATTTTTAACTACCGCATGAGGCCTGGTAGTGAAACATACTGAGGCCTGGAATTTGACAGCCCCTTATCAAGAAATATTTAAATAGAAAATGTTGGACAGCATCTGATCATACTTATTTCATGTCCTGCAAGAGCACATTTTAGCAAATATTTCCAGATTTCAAAATATTCCTATCAAAAAATTTATAACTTACCTTCGTTTTTTGTTCCAAGGCCTTTTCTAGTTGTTCGATTCGATCAAGTAAGTCCTGCTTGTCAAGGCGTTCAGCGTCCACCTTAATGTAAAATAATGAACGGTTTGTAGAAAATACACTCATGATAAGATCATTAATCATAGGAAACGAAGCCTTATGGGTTACATAGCTTCAATTAGGACAAACAATTCCATACAATAAACCTTTTATTAATCTCGCTTTTTCGGATTTTACGGAGAATTATAGTACCTCTGATTTTTGGGAAAAACCTCGCCATACGGGCTCAGTCAGTACCAAGACACTTCGGCCCGATATTTCTCCGTAAACACCTCAAGCTCGTTTACTAAGGGCTTATTAAATACGTAATTGACATTTTAGCTCCTAACTTTAATTTCGGGTTGTTATTGTAAAAGGGGATGTTTCAGTGATTTGACAAATGTTCCCAACATCGTTTATTAGAGAATAATGTAAACTGAAAAGTTAAGAAAACATTTCATCAAGCATGAAACTCACATCGTCATGTTCACGTCTGCTGGTCCTGAAAAAAAGGAAAGGGAAATACTTTAATACGATACGGAAATTGTGGTTGCTGTATGTACTGCGGCTGACTGGCAACGGGGTGCAGAATTTATATTCAAGGTTATTCAGTCAAAACACCATTGTGCTCGCTTCAAACTTCATTTGAAATTCACAAATTTGGGCAAAAGAAAAGCTGAAATGTCGATAATCGAGGAAGAGGATATTTACACAATAGAGTGAACAAACTGCAAAAAGAAACGATTTCAAATAAAATTTTCAACGCGGATCACGAATATGTATTTACTCCACAATTTATTGACGTGCAATGCACTTCTCAGAATGTTTTGCAGCAAATGGTGGATCCAGCGTATAGCAATATACAATTAATGGCCGTTTTTACTAGAGACGCATAATAGGTCCATAAGTGTGACGTCGCGTTACCATGGGGCTAAAAAATGCAGTTCTAAAAAAATATCTTATGTGAGCGCTTTGGACACGCTTCCTTTGTTTTGAATGTCTAAAGCTTTAATTATCCAGTGTAATCCCACAAAAGACAAAACAACAGGAAAGATTAAACGGTCATCCAAGGGATCAACTTTTGTTTAAGAAGTGTAAAGGACGCGGGTCAAACGGGCAAAATGGTTTACTGTTTTGCTCCTACCTACATGTGGCCTTTCGTCGGAGGGCAACACTTGCAAGTTCTTCGCTTTTCCAAGCGCTACAAAGCAGAACGACGAGTACAAGAGATGGATTCGAATCATAAAGTATGGACTGATATTCAAAAATAATTCCTTAATCGGTGAGAATTTGATGAATTACGTGATTTTAAGTGAGATTTAGGGACTCTATTCAGGTGAAGAGTTGACATCAGAACATGAGGGAGAATCATTGAATACTGAATTATAGAAGCTTCAGCTAGTTGTCTTTTTAACGGTCGCTTTGTATTTTCCGTAGCCAAAACTTTAAATCTGAGTGCTTCATCGTGTTTTGGAAGGTAGAATCCATCAATTTTGAGGATCAAATTTTTATCACTTTAATGAAAGTACGACAGAATTACACACAGCTTCACCAAGCCCAATTGTTTCATTGCAGTGTGGCCACAATTTCTAACGTTGTTATAACATTCACTCATGTTTTGCATGAAATTTTGTTTGACGACTTAATGACGTCGATTCCATCCCGGGAAAAAACAAGATCTCTGCACCCTCCTCTTTCAGGCAATTTGAATCCTGTTGGATTGTTATAGACTGCACAGATATTGAGGTTGCTGCACCGGGATTGATGAGTCAGCAAAATGCGACCGATTCATCATACAGAGGAATGAATTCCTTTAAGGTAATAGTTGGTGTTGCACCAAATGGAGTCATTACTTAAGTCAGTCGGCTGTATCCAGGTTCTATTTCAGACAAGGCCATTGTGCAACAGTCTGGACTCCTTAATCACTTGACAGCTGGAGATATGATACTGGCGGACAAGGGTTTCCTTATCCAGGATGTTGTACCACATGGTGTCTGTGTCAATATACCACCTTTTCTGAATAATGGAACTTTCACAGAGAGTGAGGTCAAGACAACAAAAGCCATAGCTAAAGCACGGATTCATGTCGAAAGAGCCGTGGAGCATTCTAATATAACAGTAAAGGGATGATTTTACCTCCTAGGGATTACAATATTTATCATCTTGTACAGCCTGGGTGTACATAGGGTGTCAAATAAGATCACTGCGAGAATTCTTTTATCTTGTTTAGGAGAACAGAAGTGAAAAGAAGTTTTGACATATGTTTTACAATAGATGTCTTTTGGGGGATAAAAATAAAAGCAAGTACTGCCCACAGTTACCCTTGAGGGGTCTTTCTGAACATTTCCCATGAGCATCCCATCACTTTTATATGGGAGTTTCCCTTCCCCCAGGAAAACAACATTAAATGATGTACTATTTTTCCATGTCTTTTACATAATACCATGTTATCCTTGTGTTTATTAATAAAAACGCAAATATATGTATAGCCTGTTACCAAAACTCCCTCACACCAAACTAGTAGTGGTCAGTCAATTTGAGGACTGAAAACCGACGAGTATCATTATTTTTTAAAACAAATCGTTCATTAACAAGCCTTTTTTTATTTCACTACGAGAGAAAATCACGCCCTCGTGTTCATTTGGGTAACAAAAACAGTCTAAAACTCAATCTTGACATTTGGCATTCACCGTCACTTTAAACCTTTTCTTTCATGCTTGCGTGTACTTCTCCTCGTAAAACACTCTGCTGGTAAGTAAATGCTTCAATGTGATCTGACTTAAAGTGGTTTTCCCCTATTTTTATAGATTTCTTTTCTTCTGAGAAGAAAGAAAAAAGCGAAGCGATGGATAATGTCGCTATTTTGAATCAAATGGGCGCTTGTTTGGAACCAGTGAACTCTACAACAACTGGAAGGCTAACTCAATATACACATGCCTAGACTTGTCTGAAGCCACTAAGAAGCTGATTTGCCGCTTCGCGTGTATCTCGCGTGGACTGTTTTATTTGCGTGACGGATTGTTTTGCAAAAACTGCTAACTTGGAAATAGAATGCTAGCCTAAATGTTTTATTTTTTTCAAAACCGTTAGCAAAATTTCGTTATTAATGTGTTAAGATGCATCGTGGACGTTCCAAGACATGTTTTGTAAACGTAACGCTGTATTATATAAAACATAAAAGTGAGAACTTGCTTCGAAATATGAATTTCTCATTTGTCGTCGAAAGACCAAAAATTTAAGATAAAACTGATAACAGGTAGTCTGTATCTTTGAATGCTGTTCAAAATACACACAATCCACTTAATATAACATGTTTCATAACAACTTTATTGCTTTTAAAGTTAGACTTGCTTTGTAAGAATTCCACATGCTCTTTTTGTAATGTGTGATAGTGATGATTTGAAATTTTGAGCTGTGGGTGATTATTGGTTCTTGTCATTTACTTCTCTCACTTCTTAAGAACTGGTGGAAGATTTGACATACATCCATATTTATGTATTGAGCATTTTATAAGCAAGTTCATGCTTATAAATAAATAGCCAAGTGTACAACATGACAAGAATTGCTAATATAACCTGCTCTACATAGATGCCAAAAAGCAACCCTCATCCTCAGTGGTTTGAACCAGGGTTTTAAAATGATTATAAAGCAAGCAAAGCTATAGCATTTATCAAAATTTTATAGTATATCATATTGATTGTAAAATTAGTTTTTTCTTGTAATACAGATGATGATAAATGTATATGTAATATATTATGCCATATTATTGTGTTATTATTAATTGCACCAATAAAGAGTCAATATTAAAAAAGGGTCAATACTCACTTAAAAAAAGACAAAAACACAATTGACACTACATATTTATAACTTTTGAAACACTTAAGCCAAAATTGTAATGTAATACAAGCATGAAAAAGATTATTAGTCTAATATTATAGAATCATCATATATTTTCACAAATATGACCAAACATTTTGAACACACATCCTAAAATATAACATTTTTTTTAAAACGAACTCAAAATATTTTTTTGCTAACTTTTTGAAATATTTTGCAAAGTGTTTTTCTTTTTGTTTACGCTCTGAACTTTCAAAACGGACTGGGGCGAGCTAATTTTGCTCGGAAACACAAAAATTACTGAAAAACAGCGTTTTTTGCCCTGACAGCTTCATTTTCAAAGATTCAAACAATATCATAAGGATGGCCAATGTGTTTTACATCCTTTTAATGACAAAAAACGAGGGGTGTCAGTTTTGTATTCAAGTTATAAGGCATGTTCTCCCGTGCCAAAACAAAGTTCGCTTTTCATCCTTCTAAAAAGAAGCTTAAACTTGTACAAATGTCGTTCAAACTTGTTTTACATTAAAGTCCAAACATTGTTTAAGGTTTTTAGACATTAAGCTGGCTCGAAGACCACTGTTTTTTGCAAAAAATCCGGCAATTTTGAAGTATTTCGCCTCCGTACCCTCAATAGCGGCGATCATGCAGGCTTCAAAGATGGCGGCCAAGTTAGCCTTCCAGTTGTTGTAGAGTTCACTGTTTGGAACTGAGATTTTTATCACCATGGAAACGTGACGTCATCGCTTAAGGACCCTATTCGTCTGGACGCATAATGCGTCATCTTTATTATTCGTCTAGTATAAAAACGGGATGAATTATCCAACGAAGTATCAGACGAACAGCCTGATAATTGCGAGAAACCTTATTAATTTTTGGCGAATAATCCCTCTCACTTTATTGAGTTATTCGTCTTGTGGCGTTTTTATACGGACAGACGCATTATACGTCTAGACGAACTATGTTCGATTCTTCGTCTACATAGACGAATAACCATTGATTATTCGTTTAGACGTATTATGCGTCTTGTACCCGTCTCTACACTGAAGACGCATAACCAGACGAACAAAACTTCTTACCCAAGTTCGTCCAGACGCATTGTGCGTCTTTAGTATAAAAACGGCCAATGTATGCTCCTATAACCACCCTGCATTAGTATATGCTTTAGCGTACATTAAGTGGTTTGTTAAGGACGATTAATATAACAATATTAGAGGCTAGGAAATTGTTCAAAACGACAATGTAAAGGCAGAACTTCTCATTTCATAGGCAATTACGTATTTCATACTAACACCATTTGCAATTGAGAATTAATTACCATGAGCGTTTTCATTGAAACATTACAATTGAGCTCGGCTCAAGCTACACGGTTCAGGCACGTGAAACTACCATATTGTTAAAATATATAAATGTGTGAAAAAAACCGTACCTGCTTGGGGTAGATGCTGTTGATACCTGGAAAAATTATATCGTAAGTAAGTTGTTCAAACATTTCTACTTCCTGTACAACTAAGATGGTGCCACCTTTACTATCGTATCGCAAGTAAAATCAATTATGAAAATGCAAGGACGATGCTAAGTTTCAAAGACTAGTTTCAAAATTAATAACAAAAAACTGGAAATATTTTTCGAGCAATAGCGATGGTGGTCGTGATATTAGTGGATATGCATGCTGCCCGTGTCCGACACTAGGGGAAGAGGAGGGGGAGTACTGTACAAGTACTAGCAGATGCATTAACCCTTACCAATGTATGTATAAATTAAATTTCTGGAGATAAAATTTAAAAAGTATACTATAAGCATACCCCAGGATTTTCCTAAAAATCTCATTCTTTGAGGACGAGAATTCGCTACCATTGGAATTCAGTTGTTTATAGATGTCATAATAATGCAGTGAATAGAGTTTATACGCCTTTAAGACTGTTTTAGTCACAAGGGAGCGCGTAGATTTCTATTCTTTGTCGCTTTAGGCTCTTTTCCACTCATCGCAAAATGCTCTCGCTGCGAGCTTGCGAGGAGTATCAGCTCGCGCTGCCAATTTCCAGTCTTTGCTTTGCTTCATAATATATTACATGGCGATTTGTTTTTGTTTACAATATGGCGGCCGTTGTCAATCGCCGTATTTTGTTATTACTGTATTTAAGACGTCGTATGCGAAGATGCAAGAAGTATAGAAAGCGTTTTTGGGTTAGACCGATATTCGAAAGACGACAACAGCGTGGGGAATACTTCAGATTGGTAAAAGAAATGAAAGAAGAAGATCACGAAAGCTATTTCGCCTACTTTGGAATGCTCCCTCGACATTTTGATTTTTTACTGTCTCTGGTCGCGCCTCTTATCTCTAAATGCAGCGCAAGAAGGGATGCTATTTCTCCGTCGGAAAGGCTTGCTTTGACTTTACGTTATTTGGCGTCGGGTGACAGCCCTCAAAGCTTATCATTCAGCTACAGTATTGGTTTGACAACAGTGCATAAAATAATTGGTGAAGTTACAGAAGCAATTTGGTCTACTCTCTTTAAGAAAGGATATATTCAAGCTCCAGAGAGTTCTTTTGAGTGGGAGAAAGTAGCAGAAGAAATCGAAAAAAGGTGGAACTTTCCACACTGTTGTGGAGCCATGGATGGAAAGCACATTAGAATGCAAACTCCCCCATCAGCTGGTAACAGATATTTCAACTATAAACTGTGGCATAGTATTGTCCTACTTGCAGTTGTATCAGCTGATTACACTTTTCTCTTGGTTGATGTCGGTGATTGTGGTCGTCATAGTGACGGTGGTGTTCTGCAGAATTCCCAGTTTGGTGAAGCACTAGTAACAAATCAACTAGGTCTACCATGCCCTAAACCACTTGCTGGTGCCCATCCAAATGGAAAGATTCCTTACATGTTCGTGGCCGATGAAGAGTTTCCATTAAGATGCAACATTATGCGTCCTTATCCAGGTAAACACTTGACAGATAAAAAAGGGGTTTTCAATTACCGCTTGTCAAGGGCAAGAAGGATTGTTAAAAATGCTTTTCGCATAGCCGCATCACGCTTCCGCATCTTAAGACAAGAAATTATTGCCCATCCGAGCAAAGTGGAAGCAATTTCCAAAGCAGTGGTTGCTTTGCATAAGTATCTCATTATTTCTGAGCAACACGTACCTGCTGGATCTAGGATGTATTGCCCACCAGGATTTGTAAACAATGAAGACAGGTAAATAACCTTTGAACTAGATTTGAGAATTATTCTAGATCTTTTTTTAAAATTAACATACTCTAGATTTTGTGTTGTTTTTACTCGTTGAAAACGTGTAAAATGACTCAAGCACACGTAAGTTGTAACGTGTTGTAAATGTAGTTCAATATCGAATTTCACTTCATCTAGAGCTACATTGTAGTTATGAGGATATTTAGCTGATTGACAACTCCTAGTTTTACCCACTTGAAACAACTGTATACTCCATCCAACAGGCTTTTAATTATTTCTCTTTTAATTTGAAGATCAGGTAATTTAGTTGCTGGCCAGTGGAAGCATTTAACAGAATGTGAGGCGACACTTCAGTCACTGAATAGACAAGGAAGCAATTTTTTTACTAAAGATGCTGCACAAGTACGAGAAGAGCTTACAAATTACTTTTGTTCAGGAACAGGTCAGGTTTCATGGCAGTTGCAACATGTTAGGTCAGATGGAAATGACATAAATGAAACCAATTCTTTATAATTTTATATCTTGTGTTAAATAAGCCATTACAGTCTCTATTTAGCAAACATGCAATGACTTTTGTTTTGTTTGTTTTGTGTAAAAAATAAAAATAAACACAATTGTACTTTAATTTTGTTTTTCAATTTTGCATTACGCAGATTGCTTTGTCAATTAATTGAATGAATTTAGATAAACAATTAATGCACAATTACACTTATGATCAAATTGATCCACAAGGTTTTGTAATCATTTAAATTTTTTAAGTTGTACACTTTAAATAGTTATAACACATAGGTATCTACATAAACAGAATGTTTTGCTACCTCATATATTAATTATATAAATTAACAATCAACAATTAAACAAATTCAATCAACATAAAATGTTGAGAATACAACCTCAACAAGCAGAAATGAGGGTTGGTCAATATTCAAGATCAATCTTCTGAGAGTGGCAACCCACACTCCATCTGAAACAATACTTCTGTGATTTTCATCTTTGCCAAAGCTTTATGATAATTGTCAAAGCTTCTCAGTGTGTGGGCAATTGAATTTCCAAAAGAAGCTTCTGCATCTGGTTCACTTGAGCTGACATTACATCTTTTCTTTTTATTATCTTCCTTTAACAATTTCAAGATTGCTATATCAATTTCCCGATCAACATTTTTTTCTTCTTCACTGGTGATTTATTCACACCAATTGATAATTGATCATTGTGCACTCTTTTTAAATCCAAGTTTTGTGAAATAGTTTGATTGTTGTTTGTTACTTCAGAAGAAGCAACTTCCAATATGCTACTGCATGGTAATGATGAATCAATTATATTCATTTCAATGCTTTCATCTGTCTCAGAAAAACCAGCTCTTTCATTTTCACTGCATATTGGCACAAAACCAATGTTACCCGAGCTAGCTCTCTGTGACATGCAGTCTCTAACAAACTGCATATGGTTGAACCACTTCCATCTAATAGCTTTCTTTCTTCCTGATTCAGATGGATGTCTTTCACGTCGGATGTTTTCTGAAAACGTGTCACGAAGTCCTTTCCATTTTGCTTGACAAACGTGAACTAAATATTAAAAATAATGTCAGGACCCACAAAGCAAGGGGTTAGTTGTCTTCATTTTTCAAAACATCTGGAATGTAAAAAGTATAAAACCAAAAAGGAAAACGCAAATAATTAAAAATTTCGAGCACACTGGGAAAGAAACTAGCAACCCCTGATAAAATTGTAAAAGTTAAAACTTCATCTAACCTGGAAATTCCAATTCATCAGCGACTTTCTTCCACGCATTCTCTTTCATTCCTTTATTCTTGTACTCTTTATAAGTGACATCAAAGAGCACTCTATATTTTTTAACACTTTCCACTAGAATTTCAATCTTCGCGTCGGTCCACACAGATACCTCACTGTTTACAGCCATTTTGGTTTTAAGACTAGTCATGTGATATTTTCAACAAATTTTATTGGCTAATGGACATTTAGTTCGCGCGATTAAAAAATTTTGTTGAAATATTATAACTATGCTCCAGATCACGGTAACCTCGCTGCGAGTAACACGCAGCACTCGCAGCGAGCTTGCGAGTACGTTTTGCGATGAGTGGAAGAGCCCTTTGATTGGCACTATTAAACCACAACATAAATCATGATAAATTATTTCTAATAATTTATCTCCTATGAAAAAATTGTTATTATAATTTGCGCTTTTGAAACAAAAATGGCGGCTAGATAACCATGTGACCATATTTGCCCAATCCCCATGATCATAATCATAACGCGAAATGAACAGGAGTAGGGTTAATTGAAGAACTAAGGCCCCCAACAGCTGGGTCGTCGCTAGAAGGCCATTTCTGGAGGATTTTGAATATCATATATTCAGTTTTGCTCAACTGATTTCTTTTGAAAGTTGATTGGCCGTCTAAAGAAATCAGTCGGTCTATAACCACTCAATTAAGCCTCATTTCCACCTATCGCACGAATCAACTCGCAGCTCGCTGCGAGAACTCGCAAACTCGCAACTAGTATTTTTTGACCTCGCAGATAGTTCACATTTTTCAACTATTTTTTCCTCGCAGCTATTTCAAATAAAAATTCACCAATGAAAGAAAGGCTGATCACGTGGCATCGTTTTTTTAGCATTATGTTACTTTCCCCATTTTTTTCAAAAAACAAAGTACAAAATGTCGGATCGACAAGAGCGAAACGAAAGATGGAGCGATTAAAAGATCGAACTTTTAATCGAAACAGTAAGAAAATTTCACGTTTTGTACATGGTAAAAAGCCGTGAATACAGAGGCAAAACACAAAAAGAAAATGCATGGCAATGTGTGGCAAACGAAGTTGAACTACCAGGTCAGTCCGAAAACACTGAAAAATGCTATAGAATTGCTAAAGAACAGTATAATTTTTAATTATTTTTCTATTTTGTCTTCAAAGTTTCATCATGTCAAGCGAAATGGAAAGGATTAAGAGATACTTTTTCAGAAGATGTAAGAAATCAGAATTTACCTTCTGGTTCTGAAACAGGAAAAGAAATAAGATGGAAATGGTTTAGAAGCATGGATTTCATCAGAGAAACCATATTGCACAGAGCCACTTCAAGCAACCTCAGTTGCAACCAAAGCAGTGAAAAACTTCATGAAATTGATGAGGAAGATATTGTTACGAGTGATTCAAATGAAATTGTGTAACACAGCATTGGAGCACTATATTAACATAAACTACATCTAATTTAATAAAATTTACTTAAAATGTCATTTGCTTTAGAGAAAAAAACTGAGTTTACATTAGCAATAGTTAAACTTGTAAGAATGAAAAATAACCATGCAAAGAGGAAAAGAATTTTGAAAGAATAAATCATAGTCATTCAAGGTTCCCATTAAAAGATATATGATTTTGCTGCCATGGAACTTCACCCTCTGGTTTCATGAAATACTCTTTAAATTGATCTCGTACTTCTGAGGCATCTTTCTTATAAAAATTTGAGCCTTGTCTCCCAATTGACTTTAAGCCTTGTGCATTCTCCACAGAGGCTCTCCATGAGCCCAATAAAATTTTTCCATTTCTAAAATAAGGGGATAAAGATTATAATTCTCTTGCAAATGAAATCTCTTCTCAGATTTGTCTAAGAAGTCAAGAATATTTCACATCAGTTTGAGTTCATCAAAATTGATTCATTAAAATTTTTGAAATATGGTATTCTTGAAAAAAATTAAGGAATCTAATCATACCTGTCCTCACTGTCCACAAAACCATGGGGTAAATACTGTCTAGAACATGCTGGTTGTTTTGCCTCCGACTTTATCAGGAAATTATGAAGTGCAGCTACAGCCATGGTAATCCTCTCAACTTTCATAGGTTTGGCAATAATTTCCCTTCTCAATATTCGAAATCTTGAGGCAGCAATGCCAAATGCATTTTCAACAACTCTTCTGGCCCTGGAAAGGCGATAGTTGAAAATTTGCTCATGTTGTGGTAGAAATTTTCCAGGGTAGGGACACATCAGATTTTTCATCAATGGAAATGCTTCATCACCAACAAAGACAAAGGGAAAAGTACTCATTCTATTACTTATGCAGCATGGTTCAGGAAGTTGAAGAGAATTTGACAGCAACCTAATACCTAATTTAGAATTCTGAAACACACCTCCATCACTATGACGACCATTATCGCCAATGTCAACTAATATGAATGAATAGTCTGCTGCAGCAATAGCCATGAGAACAATGATATGCCAGTGTTTATAATTATAGTACAAACTCCCTGATCCTGCTGGTGCTTGTATTTTTATCAATGGCCCCACAACAATTAGGGAAGTTCCAGATTCTTTTGAATTCATCAGCTATTTTTAACCACTCATACGGTGAACTGGGAGCTTTCAAAACTCCTTTTGACAAAAGAGCATTACAAATTGCCAAACAGGTATTCGAAATAATTCTATGTACACTTGTCACTCCTATTCTATAACTGAAAGACAAACTTCGTGGACTGTCTCCTGATGCTAAATAGCGAAGTGTCAACGCTAATCGTTCTTCTGAACTAATTACATCACGACTTTTATCGCTCTTTTGAATAAGGGAGCCTACAAGACCATGTAAGTAATCGAATTGATCAGGTGACATCCTAAAATAGTGGAAATAACCTTCGTGGTCTCCATCTCGTAATTCCTTCACTAAAGTGAAAAATTCGCTATGTTGAGATCTCTTTTGGAATATCGGCCTGATCCAAAAACGTTTGCGGTATTTTTCACGCTGTCTTCTTCGACTTCGCAAATAGAGTAAAAGAATTATTTGCTTTCTAGTCAAAGGACTCATTCTTCACTCCTTAAGCGTCCGCCATTTTTTTTTTTAGCTCGCTGAAAAACAGTTATCAAACAACGAGTACTCGAAACAGACACGAACAATTGCGAGTTCTCGCAGCGAGCTGCGAGTTGATTCGTGCGATAGGTGGAAATGACGCTTTAGCGTTATAGCGCCGATCCCAGTGGCATTTCGAGCTAGGAAAGTTTTGGTCTTGCTATGTAAATATTAGAACGTCATCATTTCTTTAGAAATCTGTTGTTTTTACAGTGAGTGAATACAGAAAAATTAACATAGCAGGACCAAATTTGCGGGCTGGGTACGCCACTGACCGACCCTCTGACTTTTTGCCTATGACGTAATTTATTTAATAGATATACAAAATGCGGGAAAATGGATAAGAATCAATGGGGAAATGATGTCAGAAGTCAGCTATCCAATAAAACCAGTGACAAAGCATACCCACAGGTTTATACGTACGTGCTAGACAAATCTTTCGATGTTCATTCACAGTGAAAAAAATAGATTTTAAAAGAAATAAAAAATGATCAGAAATTTACATTGCACAAGCATATTGCTCGCTAGCTACAAGATCTACCGGTGACAACAGTCACCATGGATACACCACACCAAATAAGTGCCACATCTTCGACAGCTACGTGTTTATGTACAATTTCTCAAACATTTTCTAGTAATGATATACCCTAAGCTGCATAGAACTGTATTTTCACAGATTTGAAAGGGTAAGACTACATGCAGATAAAAACATGGCAGTCATCAGTATCCAAGGAAGACTATTTCAACAAAAAAATATATTGGGAAAATCAGAAGCATCAAAATGACAAGGCAGTGGGTTTACATTGAAAATATTCGTTGACAAACCCATATATTAGTCTTTTTACCATACCTTTCTGTTGAAGATGATTTGTATTGAAATAAAATATACAGTTTTTGATTTACAAGATGAAAATCTCATAATATGCTTTGTTATGTCTATGAGGTAGTACTGAGTGCATGACCAGTTATGGAATAAACACTTTTGTCGTTTTACTCAACAACTAATTTTGCTCTTCATTAGGTTTATAAGTAATTTTACAACAAAAACATAACACATTATGCAAAGTTTGTAATGAAATACTTTGCAATTTATTCTGACATGTCCTACAACTTAAACAAATTGAAATGGCGGTCTATTCAGCAGGAACAATTTAAAATACATTAATAGATTTCAAAATTATATCACACAAGTAATTGCAGACTCGTAAATGAGAGTCAACTGTTTAAGTATGAGCTGTGCGCATTATGAATGACATATCTTCCAAAAGAATGCACCCTTGATTTCACATCACTAAAAATTTATACCTTCTTGGGTAAAAACTAACATGAGCCAAGTGCTATGAACATACCTCGCTGAGACTTGGTGAGTAATCTTCACTTCCAATGCTTTCGTTCATTTTAGTATTCTCGATAGTGGTCTGCTTACCATCATCTGCTGGCTCATCATTCTGTAAAGGAAAACAATAAGAAATATGATCAAGACTACAATTTATAGAGACGCCACGATCCATTGATTGCTCTCAGTCAACTCTGAGTCACACTCACTGTACAACATCAACAAACAATTACCGTAATGAGGCCTGTAGAGTTGATAGAAAGCAAAACATAGCATGCTTGTCAAAAATAGATGCTGCAAGCAGAGCAACATCAAACAATTTGTTTGATTACATTATGCAGACATATTTTTGAGTATTCTCACAATATGTTGGAGTTGTCAGTTTGTGGTGAGTTATATCACCATAAATAATGAAGGAAAATGGCTTTCCTGGACCCTCCATATTTGCATAAACACACAGCATGTAGGTGTTTAGTAGTAAACATGTGAAGTCTGACTCTAATTAACAAAATATTTTTAGTAAAATGCAACCAAATTTAACGCATCACTGATTAAGTTACTTCTGTTAACAAGACATCAACACTGTTTAATTCAACAGAAACAATATATCCTTGACATTATCAACTATGTTGAAATGCATCTTTAATACATAATTCTTAGCACTACCAAAAAAAACAAGAACTTTCCCAAAGCTTGTTTACATTATCTCTACAATTCAATCAAATAAATCATAAGTTAAATCTAACGTGTTTACATATCTTATATATTCTACATGAAATATTGTCGCCAAAAAGTGTTGCATAATTCATTTTCAATTCTACAGCATGTAGCCTTCATAGAATTTACGCATTGGGACACGGACGATAACAAAAGATGGCTTTCTTGCAATGGGACGAGGTATGATCGGCAAAATATCATGGAAAAATGGTCGATGGAATAACTTATATTTTGTCGGCTGAAGCGCTCTCGATTATCATGCGAAAAGCGGAAGACAATTGTCATTAACAATAACAAATGTACTTAACACTTTAAATTAAATAAATGAAAAAGCATTTGAGAGCATATCTATGTTGTCAGAAACCGTACAACAGCTCAGCGCACGAAGAAGAACCAACTTTAAATGCTATACGCGATGTTCACTGAAGTTTTTACGAAAATACTTCGAGTCAAATTCGCAGCGGAGAATTCTTAATGAAAATTATCAAACGGGCAATTTCGTTTTAACATTCTTTTAAAAAATCGTCAATAAAACGATTAGCGTCTCCTCTAGATGCGATTTTTCAACAATGTTGGTGTTGCTTAAAAAAATTAAATAGCCTAGTCAACTATTATGATATTTTAACAGTAATTGACAAACTCGACAATGTTTAATATCTTCCATCAACTAAATGTTCTCCTCGTAATGGTGTTATGAGTCGAGAGCAATTGAAGTTATAACAGTGCAATGACAGAACCATGAATGTCGGTAAAATGGAGTTGAATTATTACAATAATTGTCAAAAAGCCTGATATCAAGGTGATATCAAAAAGAACTGTTTTATATGCATTCATACTCACTGCTCCTAGACCAGGCATTACAACGACACCGGTCGAACGACGTTTCTCCCTTAAATTTTTTCTCTCTTTTCGTTTTTTGCCAGAAGGCTTTTCTTTCTTCAACGATTTCGGATTTTCAGCTACCGCAGTAGCGCCTTCAACCTGCATTTCTTCGTTATTCTGCGAGTTTTCGTGCGAAACTTGATCCCTGCTTCGTCTTGCCCGATTTCGCCGCGTTGATGAACTGTCGCAACTAACATTCTCTGTGTTTGAAATGTCTGTTCCCTCATATGCAACAGTCATGCTGTTATCCTTAAAAGCCGACGTGTCCTTTATATTATTTTCTTTGTCATATAATTCTCGGCTCGCTTCCACTCTATATTTCTTCGGGGTAGAGTAATTCTCGCTGGTCATCATATTGATATTCCGAAATTTCTATAATCGACCTCGTGCCAACAAGTTTCATACAAACACTTTTTATCGAAGTCGACGCCGAAAAATATTCACTATTGTCAAACAACAACCAAATACAATCCTATCTCGAAAATAAAACCTCCTTTTGTTCAAAACAAGCGGGAAAGCGTTTGAAATTCAACCAAACATTTCAAAAGTTTGAAGTTTACTTCGACCGACATTGTTTTCACTTCACCAATAAATTATACCTTGCAATTACGTATAGAACGTGCTTGCTGATTGGTTGAAATCCGAATTATATTTAATATTCGAGGTGGGAAAATTTACAAATACTTAACCAATCAAAACGCGCGATGGTGTGCGACAGACAGCAATATTACAAGCGACACAATAGTCATTTAAATTAAGATGTATTGAGACCAATTTTCCCGTATATGTTTTCCCGTTGGAAAAGTTTGAAGCAGTCGTTTTATTTTAAATGCAAATTTTTCAATTTAAAGTTGCACTCGTTCTGCGGAAGCAATAAAACGTATCACTCACAACTGGCGTAGAAGCGTATAAATTGAACATACTTTCTGGCTAAGTTAATTGCAGACAATGCCACATACGAAACATACATATTTTCACCCCATATTAACATTAGCAGTAGGAACATTGCTTCAACATATCATGTTTCAAACGAAAATGCAGTTATTGGCACGGTCAATCTAAAAACATGCACTCAAATTGACAACAGCAGCGCGATAACTTGTTCGTTTGAACTGCGGTTCATCATGAAATAAGAAAATCATAAGATTTAAAAGTTTTCGTCAGAACGCCAATGAGAATGGACTTGCTTGAACGGATTAAAATTTACTAGCTTATTTGTGAGTTGTGACAACTTTAGCAACAAAAACTGACAAAGTTTTGAAGTGGTCACCATTTTAATGTGTTGAGCGCAAATAATTATATCTTAAATGGTAAAGTTTCAACTCACGAATGGCTTCAGCCAGTTATTATAACTGCAGTGTCACACGTTGAGCGACATTTTGAAGACTGGAAAGTCATAATCTATTTTTTCCAATAATTTGTGTATTCCATTTGTTAACGTGTAAATTTTCACAAGCGTGAAATTTTGACGGTTCAAGGCAGAAAGATTACAATGCAGCACGCAACTGGCTATTTGATAGATTCTAGTTGAAAACAAGACACACGTACTGACGTACAGGCAAACTGCTAGAATGTTCCTAATTCTAGAAGGCTTCCATTGCACGTTGTTTGCGAAACAATAATCTTAACATTTGCATATGTACGTGGAAGTTGCGTGTCGGAGTCAGCTCACACAGGAAATTATATTAAGGCTGAATGTTTGTATTGAAGTACAAAAGAATTAAAACGTAAATGTTTACTTGTCTATTGTATTATTACCCTGCGCACTTGTTTTACAAATGTCAGTTTTTGTTAATGAGCATGCGTTTATGTTACAGATAAGACTTAACTATACGACGCACGATTTCAGAAAATGCTAACTTACAGTTTTGCCGTACAAAGTTGCAAATGCAGACAGAAAATCCCCGATTTCATACAAAAACCAAACAGCCGTGTTAGCAGATTAAGTTTAAATTTTAAGTGGTATGCAAAGATTGCTTCGTTCCGTAATTTGCAATTTACCAAGAGATTCAGACGAAAGACGGTGATTTTAGGAGTCAGCGTTTTTACGCACACGAGAATACGTTTACATTGTAAAGGCGTCTAGAGTTTGTAAAAATGTAAAGCCAACCTACCTGACTACCACCAGGTAATATAACAACACCAGTTCCATGGCGTCGTTCTCGCAAGTGCCTCTTATCCTTGCGTTTCCTTCCCGATTCTGAAGGTGACTTTTTCAAAGGTTTTTTCTCTTGAAGAAAGCCTTCGACAGCGTTGCTTCGGGTAAGTGCTGGTTCGGATACGGCAGGTGTTTTGTTGCGCGCCGTCAAACTACATTCTGGTCTGGAAGAGACTTTCGTGCCGAATGCTGGTTTCAAGTTAGTCACGCCAACACTGCGATACTGTGTTCTTGTACCACGGATCCCGCTTGCCATAGTGAACTCGAGAATCGTCCCACATAAACACTTGCTTGTAGTAGCCGATAAACTCGTGAATTGAATTCCACGCTATCTTCAGAAAGGCAAACAAGTTCAACCGAGAGGTTATATGTGACATAAAAAAAACAGTTGTAAGGCAAAGCTGCCCGGTTACATCACACGACCCGTATCTTAGTGCGCACAGATGCGCATTGAATTGAATATATTCGGATCAGTCAGAAAGACTTCCCTCAACTCCAGCTGAGATAATTATGACGGTCAATGATTCTGCAAAGATTTCCCGTCGATGAAAACCATATTTTGATTTCACAGCTTTTACCAAATCATGATCGATATTCCGCTTTGTTTTGCTTACCGCATGCAAACTTCAGAAAAAGCACTATATTGGCGCAAAACTATAGAAAGTCTGAGTTGGTTAAACGGGCGCAAATAAAAATACACGACTTTTGATAACAAAAGAAACTTGTCATTGAAATCATGCAATATTGTTAAATCCTTTTATTGTGTGCAATATTGTGTGATTTGTTCTGCCGACACTCGACGAAAAGTGAAGGTTGAGAAGTCAAAATTTATCTTTCAAAAATCGAATAAGAATAAAACTAAAACAAACATTCCGAACAAGGTTGTGACTTTCACCTTATTTTTACGGATTTCATTTCAGGTGATAGTCTCGTAAGTCGGCACAAAGGAGGGGAAGAGAGGGAGAGGGCTACGAGATGCAAAGTCGATTTTTTATGGCAGAGCATTACTAAGCACTATAATACATTATATATAATTATTTGCATGAGCGCTAAAAAATATTCGATAATGGATACTTAGTGGTGTTTTTTCGTATTCCTGTTTGATAAAGTAAGAATATTTTTGCAGAGTTATGTAGAATAGTGCACCATTACTTATTATATGCATTTATTGAGTATCGGATAAATATCTGCAATGGAAAATCTATGGATAATTCTCTTGTTGATCAAACTACAGTTTAATGTAGGTAACGAGAAAAAGTTCAATCACAAGATGGAAACAGCAGACAATTAAATGAGTAAAACGCAAAAGTTCGAGCAAAGTTTGAAAGAATTTTTCAAGTGCACGAAACTGGATCTTTTGTACATTTTTTAAGTGAAAAAGATGTGGAAACAAAGTTTTCGCCCCCGTCATACAACCCCCCCACACAAAAAAACTTTCAATCTTTTGCAAACAAGTCAGACTCCCATTAGTACACCATCAAGAATTTCACTTTTCTCGCTCGGATTAAATGAGCCATGACCGTTGGAAAAAATACTATGTTAAACAACGATGATCTGTCTGCCGAAAGAATGCAAAACCATAATCAGGAAAATGAGATGGATCTTCTAAATTCTACTAATTCATGATGCATTCAGTAAACTAGTCTGCCGGCTCAGTCTTCCGGTTCAGATCCCAGCAGAACTTGTGGAGGCGGTGGTACGCTATCACCTCCGGATACGGCCGCTAAGGCTGCTGGTTCGTCCACTGCACCGATAACGTTCGTGCCTACTTTGGTCTTGACGCATTGAAAATCAACATGGCGGCTTTTACCGTCTTCTTTCTCCCAAGACATGTGAATAAAAGGTCTTTGCACGTAATTGTAAATGACTAGAAAAATTTGAAATTTCATTAGAATATTTTCTGTGAAGTCAAAATGGTGCGGTATGATGTGCAGCGTATATTGTTGAATGAATGTTAGAGGAACAATTGAAACATTTGTTCCTCAATGGCAATGAAATTTTTTTCATACGCTTATCATAGATAGCTATGGAATACTTAATTTCGTGTTTTCGTGTCTCTTTTAAATTTTGCTGTCGAGAAAATTTGACATAAAGTTGAATCCTTATCCGCCATTTTTGAAAAAAAGTCTTATGCTAAATTATGCCAGAATACATTACTGACGTCATTGGCTGGTATCACTTGAATGACACAATATAAAATAATAGTATTATAATAATATATAGCACATTTGTTCACTGGAATTTTAAAACAAAAACAACAGTCGGCGGTTGTTAAGATTAACAACAGTTGTGTAGTATATCACGCTTATATACTTTTCCAATATTTAGTCGTTATAAGACGTAGAAACGTTTATTTTAGCAGATCTTACAAATAGGCCTTTCGCGACATACGAAGTGTAAGCCCAGACAACAATAAGTATGGAAAGGCATAGTGGACAAAAGTAGTCGAGAATTTTTTTTTCCACCGAGATTATTTTTTACTGTTGAGAATACAGGTTTTATAGTCCAGCTAGATAACTTTTTAATAGTCGAGAATATTTTTGGAGTCGAGAATTTTTTGCCAGTCGAGAATTTTTTTGACGTCGAGAATTTTTTTGGCAGTCTAGAATTTTTCTATTAGAAATGTCAAAAGTCTCAAGAGCTGTTGACGAAGATTTAGAAAATCTGTTATTATCGATACAAGACTGTATAGAACGTATAGATAGGAACGAATTTCTTGGTAACTTCAATTTTTTAGAACATTTATGTGATCGCCTTGAAGGACATATTCGAATAATAATGGCCATCTCCTTAGTCCTTAGCAATCAACAACATCCCATATCGCCGCTCATAGCGAACTTACTCAATATATTGAGAGAAAACTTCAATTTCTGCGAACACAGATTACTTTATGTAATGAGCAAGTTGCGATACGTTGTAGAATTCCAGTCCCGCAAGATGCAAGCTCTGGAGGCAGACGTAGATACATTGTTACAGCAGACCAAATTGAAGAATTACGCAGTACGGGTATGAATTGGAAAGCCATTGCCAGTTGCCTGGGCGTGAGTGCCAAAACTCTTTACATAAGAGGAATAGACTATGGTATAGCAGACACTTACTGTGACATAACAGAACAAGAGCTTGAATAGTACATTAGAGATATTTTAAGATTGACACCCTTCTCTGGCGAAACTTACGTAAGAGGAGCTTTGCGTGGTCGGGGTATTCATATTCAAAGGTGGAGAGTTAGGGAAGCATTAGAAACTATTGACTCTATTAACCGTGCCATAAGACGGAGATACGCTATACAAAGGCAGGTGTACAATGTGAGGAAACCAAATCATCTCTGGCACATTGACTCCAATCACAAACTCATCACTTGGAGGTTTATCCTGCATGGTTGCATCGACGGCTATAGCAGAACTATTATTTATTTGAAATGCTTCTCGAACAATCTTGCGCATACTGTTTTGCAATGTTTTGTCAATGGTGCACAAAGATTTGGGATTCCATCTCGCGTACGTGGCGATAGGGGGGTGGAAAATGTACACGTTGCACGATTTATGATAGCTAATAGAGGTCTAAATAGAGGAAGCTTCATAGCCGGACGCAGCGTGCATAACCAAAGAATTGAGCGTCTTTGGGCGGAGGTGAATAGAGTGAGTTCCTCCTATTATAAAGATCTATCCCAATTTATGGAGGAAAGCGAGCTTCTTGATGCGCACGATGAAATCGATTTGTATGCTCTGCACCATGTTTACATTCCTGCAATACAAGCCTCGCTCAATGAGTTTGTCAACCAATGGAATCATCATGGACTTCGAACTATGCGGAGTATGTCGCCCCTAGCACTATAGCGTTCTGAGCTTAATGAAACTGATTTAACAGACGTAAATATCGATGATGTAAATTTATATGGCATTGATCCTGATGGCGCGGTAGGTGATATCGAAACGGACAATATGTTTGTTGCCCCTGAAAGTTCAGTTGAGTTGACCGAAGATCATGTCAATGAAATAGGCCGCCTTGTTCCGGAACCTTTAAACGATGACGGCAATCACGGAATTCACCACTACCTCACAGTTCGTCAATATTTGCAAAATCATTTTCAGGAACTATAAAAACTATTTAATGAAAAATTATTAGAATGAATTGAGCCTCAAAAATATACCATTTTATCAACAATCGTCGTAACTGCTTTTATTGTCACATATTAGAAGTCAAAGGATTTTTTAAGGTGTGCCGTTCTTGCATTTGGTGAAGAGAAACACAATATACACTATATATTTATCTACAAAACAATTTTTTACTACATAAATGTATCATATAATGGGATATTGTGAAGTAAAACGCTTGATAAAAGAACACTATAACAGAACAGTTGTATACGTACGTATACAGTATAGTATAACTTCAACCATAACATTGTTGCTTAATTATTCGTCTTTATCTATTATCTATAAAACTATGTAAAATGAACATGCAGCTTCTCGTCGAAAAATGTTATTGAATTCCTCGGACAGTTCGTTGTATGACTGGTAAGTTGATGGTATTATTAGTAGAGGAGCACATGTGTCCGCAACAGGTCGACGTGGGTAATCAGATTCATCACTAAATGCAACCTCGATTGAATCAACTGCAATGATGTTGCTACCAGTAACAAACTGGAGAAAAACACTAATAACGTTGTCGTCAAGAGATTTAACAAACCGCTTTAAATGAGAGAAGCATTCCCGTTCGGCATCAGAGGCTGGGCTTGAAATCAATAGCTTGCAAACCTTTTTCTGGTTTGGCTTTTTTGCTTCATAAAGACTCACCCAACTCTCAACAGTTTCAAATTGCTTAAAACGTTTCAGTTGCTTCAGGATCGGTGACCATGCATTAGTCACGTATTTTGGACGCTGTATTATTTCTTGATGAGCTAACTCCTCAATAACTTCTGGCATCGAGCTCTTTTTAATCACCCTGCGGGACTTGTAACTTGAAAGCACGTCAGCTACATCTTCGTCCAATGACAGGTCAGGGCATTCATCACTGATGCTTCTTGTTAAAGTGTCACTTTCGTCCTTTGATATATATTGATGAAAAGACTCTACTAGCCAATCCTTAGCAAGCGCGTACTCCGAAAAAAGACAGGAAGCAATAAATGCACTGGACAAAGTAACAGGAAAATATCCAAAGTTAATAAATCCTGCAACAAGAATACGAGCAATACTTTTCCATTCACTCTGTTGGTAGTCATGACGTATAGCTGGGACTTTTCGGAAGCACCAGTAGCCAGTGAGTTATAAAACTCTCTCCAAAATATGCTAAGCGCCTCTCGTTTTACACCAGAACCTCTTCCTTTTTCGATATCTCCTGCTTCGTCGATAAATACAATCTCTAGGCAACACGACAAAATACTTTCGTCCTTGAACGCAATAATCATGTCTGCTAACACATTGTGGCGGTTAATGGCAATTTCCTTAACCAAACGATTGTTTTCCTGAAACTGATTACCACTGTCTAATTCACCATCTGCATCAATATTTACGTCTCCATCATCTTTCAAATCAAATAATACAGCACTTTTTACAATCACAAAAAACAAAGATTTTTATCAGGCATAAGTAACAAATTTATTTTTTGGTAAAAGTGAGTGATGGATGTCTGCAGATAAAATTTATCACAGTTTAATAATATTAATAGTAGTACTAATAATAATAACAATAATACTAATAATGCAAGGACTAATAAGGATACTGATGGAAAAATGCTAGGGTACTTGGGATTACAATTAAAGATAACAGGCAAAAAATATTCAACTAGTTTGTATAGTTTCTTTGACATACTCTATATAAAAAAAAATAAAAATAATACTGATGATGATAATGATGATGATGATAATGATGATGATTATAATGATGATGATTATAATGATGATGATTATAATGATGAATATTGTGGAAGACTTTAGGAGGATATAAGGATACATTGAACAAAAGTATTTCAAACAACATGGTTTTAGGGGCTTAATTGTTTTTATCATAAACTATTTAATGTAGTTGTGATTATTTGATTCTTTAACTGGGTCAATAACTTTAACAATGTCTGACTCATTTTATTTTCATATGCATGGAAACATTAGTTACCTTGTAAATCAAATGGTTCTTCCAAGTTTGTTTCAAACAATTCACACTGGTTGTTTTGCATTTCAGTAGGTTCAGTATTGGTCATATTTACAACAGCATCATCAAGCTGCTTATCATTAATGGCTTCATGTTGCTTAAAGGGTTCATCTATGACCACAGTAGCTTGATTTGTTTCTCCAAATTGAACTTGATTCACTTGATAAATTACAATATATGAATAAGTGTTTATGACAAATACTGAAATATAGACATGACACAATTTTGCTCCTTTCAATGTATAAAATCTTTATTTTATATATTTTAATCTTTTTTCATCTCTAGAACATGTATATATACTGCTATAGATTTCTCAAGAGATTTTACTCCAAAACAATAAAAAAAGAATATTTTATCAAATCCAACCTGGAAAATTGTTAGTTAAGATTTCATTAAGACTTGAATCATTTGATAACCTCCATAATTCATCATCCTCAACATCGTCCAACTCATTTTCTGGAAGACTATACCTTTTACGTTTCTCTTTATTTGTAGACTGATTTAGGATTTGTCTACATGGCCTAATATAAACTGGTTTGTTGTTACTAAAGATTCTGTTGATTACAGAACCATTTAAGTATTGACCTTGAGCTAATGTAGGTTTGAGAAGTGCTGTATGAACAGAATGCACAATCTCAATTTCCACGTCATCAGGCAGGGTTCCTTGAAAAGCTTGGCGTATTTCAAGTTCTACGTCAATGTCAGTCCACTCTTTGTGAAA